TGTGAAAACAATGTTTCTGGTCATCAACATATATTAGTTTGGAACTTAATCTGTTCTACACATTCAAAGATGGAATGGACCATGTCAATATCTTATTTTAGGCACTACCTACAAATCAAAAAGACTCAGTGTCAATTGTTGTCACCAGCCAAAGTCAGTTAAAAAACCATTAATCAAGAACCTGCTGTATATGAATCCCTGTTTTAGCTGTCGAAATTGTTAGCAATTTCAGGTAATAATAATAATAAAAAAACCATAATTGTTATTATATGTAATATTTCCTGGTAAAAAGTAAATCTCTGAAAGTTAGTTTTGAGATAATGCCTATTATGACAATAGTATAATTAATGATGAAAACAGCAATAATGATTATAGTTTATAACAATTATTATAACCATATATTGATACCACACAAACTACAAGTGGTAACTAAACTTTTTTGGTTGTTTCTGTGAGTTAGGAGCTTCAGAGCAAAGTAAAGTTTTTGGCTTCATTTCTCTCCAGCCTCTACCCCCAACTATTGTCCTCCAATTTCTTTCATACTCTTTTCAGTTTTCCTTTTATGTCTTTTCTCCCCCCACTAGAATGTAAGCCCCTTGAGGGCAGGGAAAGTCTTCCTACTTGCTGTATTTGTATTTCCAAGACTTAACACAGTGCCTGGCACAAGATAATTGCTTCATAAATGCTCATTGACTTATTGACTGACTAGAGGCTTTTGAGTAGGGAGAATATGAAAAAACTGTCTAAGAGTCAAAAACAATATGATATAAAGCAGGGGAGAAGAACAGGAGGCACAGGACCTTGGTTCGAATTCAAGCTGTGCCACTTATTCCCCTTATAAACATGGATAAGTCACTCAAACTTTTTGCATCTCACTTCCCAAATCTCTACAATAAAAGGATGGCACTGGGAAGAGATATCTAAACTTTTTTGTTCATGTACCCATGTCAGTAAAAATTGTGAGCAGATACTCCCATATATTCACATTTACTTACTTTTAAGTTATATACCTTTACTGCTATACTAAGAATTATGTATATTATAAGACTTACACAGAAAAGAAATGTTAAAAAAAGATAAGATTAAGAGGAAGTGGCATTTTGAAAAAAAATATTATGGTACAATAAACAAATGGTAAAACAGTAAAATAATACAATAAACCTACAATAAATATAAGGATTAATAAATGACTTCAATCTGACTGAATCTGCTTTTTTTCTTTTAAATCTTGGTTAAAGATTGAAAGACAGTGATTTGCAAGTTTAATTTTAAATTCATTTTATAAAGGATGTCCCAAAGGGCTCTGTGCTACCCTGAGACTTTTAGGACATGCTATATTGATACCTGTTTTTCCTGTCAATCACAGATGAAAAAAGATACCTCAGAAAGTGATGGAGATCAAGATGGAAAGGGATATTTCATTGGCTGTTTTTACTAAATGATGATATTTATTTTTAAATCTCATCCACTAATTATGCAAACATTTTGGATAGAATTCATCCAGTAAATTTCCATCTTGCCTGATATTATTCTATTGTTCTCTCGATTACTAAAGGGTAGCATTTATAAATTTTTAACAAATGGGTTTAAAATCTATTTAAATTATTCATTTGTAGAGTTTTTTTAAAAACAGGTTAATTGGTTCTGTTTCCAAGGAGCTTTTTTTAAGAAAAGAAACAAGAGTTATCTTTTTCAACAAGAGAAAGAGAGGGTGGAAGAAGGGGAACACAGAGAGTGAAGAAGGGAGGGAGAAAAAGAGAAGGGAAGAGGAAGGAACACAGAGGGAGAGGAAGAGAGGGAAAGAAAAGAGAGAAAGGAAGGGAGAGGAGAGAAAAGGTAAGAAGAGAAAAGGAAAAGAGGGAGAGAAGGAAGGAGGAAGGGGCAGAGAAAGAGAGAGAGAGACAGAGAGGGAATGGTAACTGCAAAGAGAGCAGTTTCAGTTGAGTGAAGAGTCAAGTAAACAAGGCAACAAAGAAGTTGAGAACCTGGGAGACTGTTGAAGAAAAATGATCCCCTCAATGCAAACAGGGAAGTTCAGAAGAGGGGTAGGTTTTGAGGGAAAGATAATGTAATGTAATCTTCAACGCAGAGTACAAAAAATTCATGCCTGTTCATCCTGTGCTACTTAATTTTTTTTCACTAAAAGGAAAAAAAAAAGAAATGAGTGTGTGTGTGTGTGTGTGTGTGTGTGTCTGTGTATGTGTCTGTGTGTGTGTAGGGGTTTAGGTAGAGGTGGATCTTGCTTACCATCCACTACCTCAGAACACAAAAAGCACTCACTGAAGAGGCAGCCATGATGTGATCTGGGTGACAGAGCATGGATATGCTGTGCGTGGGAGTGAGGGATAGGGATTTTGCCTGCTCAGCTGCAGTACATGCGTTGTGGTTATTTTATACATATTTTGAGGAGCTGATGGCTGAAGAAGCCATGAGAGACCAGGGATACAAAGGGGTAGAATGCTGGGGCATTGGGGGTGCATTGGGCAAAGACAGTAGCGTGACTGTGTTAGAGACAAGCTTATAATTAGTTTTGTGGGTAGAGTGGGATGTGGTCCACCTCTCTGTCCTCTGATTGGCTGACCCCCTGGGGTTAGGCTACAGATTCTTTGGGGTCATGCTATGGTCCCCGTTTTGAAGATCAATGTGCTAAATAATCTCCAAGGTCACTTCTAATGCCAACATTCTTGGACAGGTGTATTGGCAATAGTCTGTGGACAAATGAGTTGGAAATGTTAAAGGGTACCCAGAGGACACATTTTCCTCTCCCAAAACAGACTCAAAAGCAGTCAGACACTCAGACCAATCTCTAGATGTAGAGTGACTGCTATATTTGTACACTAACTGAACTGCCCATAACAAGTATTAAGTATCTTCAGTGTTAAAATGATGTTAGTGTTGAGATAGTGATGGCTTCCCAACAAAGCCATAGCTGGGGATTTCAGAACCTGGGGCAAATTAGCTTGTGATGGGAACAGAGCAGGGTTGGGAAACAGGACAATCTGAAACTAGCTAATGCCGCCATTGTCACTGATCTGATGGGTCCAATGTGGTCGGGTCCTCAAGCCAAGCAGCTGGAGCAGTCTACCCTGGTTGGTTGCTCTTACACCTATGAAGTGGTCAAAGTGGGGATCCCAGGAGAAGAAAAGGATGGTGTGAGGACTCTCAGGAGAAGGAAGCCTAGATCAACCCCACACCCTACACACACACACACACACACACACACACACACACACACACACACACACACACACACTCTACTAATGTAATCGGTAGGCGTGTCCTTCCCATGGCCTCACCTTCATAGTCCTCTGCTAGCCCCAAGCCACCTGGCACGACTGCTAAGATAAAGTGCCCTTATAAGTAGCAGTGCCCTAGTGCCTAGCCCCAGAGACCCATTGTGCTCTTATTTCCAGGAAGTGAGATTATTTAGGGCGAGAGTGATGCAAAGAATGGCCTCCGTCAAATGTAGGCAGTATTTTTTCAATATCCACAGGGCTATAGGATATCAGTTCTCACTGGCTATTATTTCCTTCTTCCTCATAATTACTTTGAATTCATTTTGTATATGTTATGTATATATATATATATATATATATGTATACATGCTGTCTGACTCATTAAAATGCAAGATCCTTGAGTGCAGGGTTTTCCTTTTGTCTTTATCTTCCAAGGGCTTAGGAGACTGACACATACTAAGTGCTAATAAAACCAACATCAGAACACAGGTTTCTTTATGTCCTAACATTATAAAATTTTTATGTCTCATGGTAGCCACCTGGGGGGGGAGAGAAAAAAAGGAAAAAAGAAAAAAAAAGAAATGTACATGATAACCTCATTATATATTTAAAAGGAATAGCAAGTGTACATAATAGATTTGCAGTTTCATGTGCAATCATCTTTTTTTATTATATTGTGTTATGGAAATGCTTATTTTACTCCATAAATTAAAAAAAAAATAAAAGTAAAAGTTTTCTTTAAAAAGAAGAGCACAGGTTCTAGAAGTGGAAGGTACCTGAGAGATCACCTAGGCAGTGGTGTTGAACTCAGATAGAATCATAGCCCTGTGAGCCACATATTGACTTGGGAAAACTAAGCACGTTGACTTAGAAAACCACAAATTAACATTATCTGTGTTTTACTTATTTTTATTGATTTTATTAAATATTTCTCAATAACATTTTAATCTAGTTCTGCACTGGGGAGTTTTGCTGGCTGCTTGTGGCCTGTGGGCATCAAGTTTGACCCCTCTGCTCACCAACTCTCCTCCCTCCCAACAAATACATACTTTACAGAGGAGGAAACTGAGGTCAAGAGAGTTCAAATCAGGTCATACAGCTAATAAATAGCAAAGCCAGGACTGGAACCCTGAATATTTCAATGTTCTTTCTACTAAATCATTCTGCAACTAGAGTGATTGCTTCCCATCCTGATACCAGTACCATTCTTCTGTGCAGGATTGGTCTGTACCCTTTATCCTGAAACTATAGTGGCCAGAGGTTGTTTGCCTCCAAACAAACTTGGCCCCATTCCGTATCTCCTTGGGACTACGGCAACATTGTTTCATACCTTTGCTAGCTCACATTTGGGCTGTTACTGTCGTATTTTATAGGATGCTATATGTGGGTGGTATACCTGAGTGGTTGGGTAGCACGGTGGATGGAGTGCCAGGCCCGAAGCCAGAAAGAGTCGTCTTTGTGAGTTCAAATCTGGCCTCAGGCACTTTCTAGCTGTGTGACCCTGGGCAAGTCACTTAACCCTGTCTGTCTCAGTTCTCATCTGTAAAATGAGCTAGAGAGGAAAATGGCAAACCACTCCAGTGTCTTTGCCAAGAAAGACCCAAAAGGAGTCACAAAGAGTCGGACATGACTGAAACATAACACAATATCTGAGTAGCGCTCAGATCCTCCAAAGCATGGCACACAATAGCTAATGTGCTAGGCAACGCCACCATCTTTATGGCAATGATCATAAAACATAGTTAAGCAACAAGGATGACTGACCTGGTGTAGTCGTCCTCAACAAGCATGTGCTTTGGAATCGGTGAGTACCTTCCAGGAGAGATGGGCGGCAGGGAAGATTTGTACTCTAAAGTGCCATTGTTGCCAGAGAGAATGTGATTTTCCATTGGTGGAGAATAAGCTGGTAGGAGAAAAGAGAACAAAATTTTGATTCAGTTTAATTCAACATATGCTCCCTTAGATGCCAAGGGGGTATGTTAAAAATAGAAAGGCTCTAGTGCTCACTGCAGACAACAGTAGCCAAACAGGAATGTGGAGTTTATGGTGTGTTGCGTTTAATATACACAAGCAAATGGTGACCTTTATGGTTGGCAACATATAATAATGGGGGTATCTACAAAGCAAGTTAGCATAATTAAGAGAAGGGAGACAGTTGGAAGGGACAAGCAGTGCATGTGTTTTCAAGGCAATGATTAATTTTCTATTGAAATGGAAATGTTAACTTTCTAATTGTAGATCCAGTCATTCTTTTCAAATGATTAATATCTAACCATCAAAAGCAAAATGCTGCTGGGAGAAGGACCACTCAGCATGAAATTCTTCTTTTACCCCAAAATAGTTTTGTACTTGTAGTCATGGAACACTACAGTTTTCAAGGATTCAAAGTCCAAGACCAAGGGAGAGAGACAGAAATGGTGACTGTAGGAAGCCTGCACTACTTTAAAAAATAAGATTCGATAAAGGAGTGTCATCAAAGAAATGTTTGATTGAAAAAGAAGATGAGCTGGTCATAGTACAACATTGGAGGATAACTGATGGGATGGCCCATGTATACTACTGGAGTTATGATATTCTAGCATTAAAAACATGTGCGTTTATTAACCAGGGAACTTGCTACTCTGCAGCTGTCTCCATTTTATAAGCAAGCAAGAAAGAGGTAGCTTTAAGCCATGACAGTGCAAACCAGCCAATTCATACCCAGCTGATGAGATGCAACTGAACTTTTAGCAAAGGCTCATTCCCCAGTAAGTTCATCCAGTTAATCAAGAAATTCATCTGATGAAACCACTATACTCTTAAAAAAATACATCTGAAACATTTCCCTCATTGTTTAATGTTGCACTATATGCAACTACTAATTGTGCTTAATCCTAGTCCTGGCTAGGCTCCCCACTTCATGATTTCAGGATCATAGATTTAGACCTAGAAAGGACATCAGGGGGCAGCTAGGTAGCACAGTGGATAGAGCACCGGCCCTGGAGTCAGGAAGCCCTGAGTTCAAATCCAGTCTCAGACCAGGCACTTGACATTTACTAGCTGTGTGGCTCTGGGCAAATCACTTAACCCCAACTGCCTTGCAAAAAAAAAAAAAAAAAAAAGAAAGAAAGAAAGAAAGAAAGGACATCAGAGGTCATCTTAGAGGCCAAAAATATAGAGAATAGAGACTTGAATTAAATCAATTCTGGACTCAAAACCTGACTGACTTACCAGCTGGGTGTCCCTAGATAAGTCACTTAAATCTGAGCCTCAGTTTCCACATATGTAAAATGGAAATTAAAAAAAAAGCCTACTTCACAGGGTTGTTGTGAGGATTAATTGCAATAATACATGAAAAACACTGTAAACTTCAAAATGTTATATAAAATTAGCAATTATTATCTAGTCTAACCCCTTTATTTTACAAAGGATGGAACTGAGGCCCACTCATTTTTTAATTCTAGTCTGTTTTTCAATTAGCATTCACCTATTTTCCCTCCTTATTACCCCTGTAAATTTAACAGAAAAAAGAAGAAACAGAAGTCATATAACAAATACATATATAGTCAAACAAAACAAATTCTCACCTTGTGTATGTCAAAAATAGGTCTTATTCTGTATCTTGAATCCAGCACTTTTTTGACAGGAAGTAGGACACATAGATTTACATCAGTCTTTCCCAAAGAGTTTAAATATCTTGCTTGACATCATACAGGTGAATACCATAGCCAAGATTTGACCTCTAGCCCTCTGTGTCCAAATTCAATAACCTTTCAACTATACAGTGCTATCACCTGAAGTCTATTTCCCACAAACATCTTAGTTTTTATATTTCTGAATAATTTTTCCAGACTCTATTCTGTCCTTATGTCCCCAACACTGACCATAGATGATGTTCTTGAAGTGATTCATGGCTTTATTTATTTTATTTTGTAAATGTTTTCTTTCAGAAATATTTTGACTCCCTTATGGATAACTGTTAAAAATTCATCCATATTGGAAAATACTAAGCAGGAAGACTATCTTTATAATGGATATACCACCTAAGGTAAAGTGGGTTTCAGCTTCATTTCTGGTTCAAAAAGAATCACATATCCTTTGGAAGTAGTCTTGGAATCTTCATTTAAAAAAAAAAAACAACAAACCAATATCTGACTTAATGGGCAGGTAACGAATTAGTCAACCCTTCTATTTCTCTCTAGAGAGCTATCCCAGGCAGAGAGATGTTAAAGTACTTGCTTAAGACCACAACACTAACTAATGGCATGTGGATCCACAATTAGAATGCTGAGGTTTCAGAGTCCCAGTCTCCTACTGAGATATAATGCTGCCTTTCATTTCCCAATTATTTTATATATGGATATCTCCAAAATTATTTTTGAAGTATTATATTGGAAGGGCAGAAACGGTTTATATCTAGTCACAGAAGACACAGCATCCATCAGCTGAGGCCCTTAGTGACCTTTCAAACAGTTCAGATAATGGCCTGCCCCAAAAGTAGCTACTGGCTTCCTGAGGCCTGAGCAGGCTGTTATAGTGCCAGCCCTCCTCCCACTTCCATAGCCATAGTCTATGCCATTTTTTTCTCTCTTGCAAATGGAAAGTGAGGGCAGAGGAAAATGGTAGCTCTGAGATCAAGCATCAAAGGCAGTAATTTAAAACTTCAAATCTAACCCCTCCCTTGGGGTTGTTCTCTCACATTATTAGACCATCCCAATTTTTTTTGGCCATGCATCCTTTTTCCAGCATAGTGCTACCCTGATCTTACGTCAGAAGACATTAGGATTTTTCCCTCAGGAGGCATTAATCTCATCTTTTGGCACTTGAGAAATACCAATTTAAAAATATGGTTACAAAAACAATTACTACAATCACACTGACACAGCATATTTTAAGCATTTCCAGTATAACGATCAAGGAGGAAATGCTAAGGGTCCTCATCTGTTACCTTCCTCATCTCATCAAGAGACATGGGTCTTAGAAGGCAGCTAGGGAAGGAGCTGGAATGGACTTTTGCCTGGCTAAAAAAGGATGATGATCCAGGGTGGTTAAGGTTGTGCATCATTCCAATTCGGGCAAGGTAGGAAGCTGATGGAATGACCCCCGCTGAGAGGGTGGTACTTACAGTGAGTAATATCAGGTGGGCCATAAGGATCTGTCATATAAATGGTGGTTGGTTTGCCAACTTTTAGATAAACTACATCTGAAGTGTTCTTCAATATCGCTACAGCTTCTTCATGTGTGACTTCTTCTAGACTGTAGTTATTTACCTTGAAGAAAAGGAAAAAAAATCCTCAGTAAAATTAGAGTCAGTCTGAGCAGAACAATTTATACAATAACAATACCATAAAGATAAACAATTTGGAAAGACTTAAGAACTCTGATCAATCCAATGAACAATTTTGTTTGCAGAGGAGCAATGATAAAACATCTATCTATCTATCTGTCTGTCTGTCTATATCCACATATATACACACTAAAAATATGTACGTATATGTATGTGTGTATGTGAAATTTTCAGAGATGGCCAATGTAGGAGTTTGTTTGCATATTTTTCATATAAATGGTGGCTGGTTTCCCAACATTTAGATAAATTATCCATGAAATGTTCTCCAAAATTGGAATAGCTTCTTCATATGTTTTGTCTGTCTTACTTTTTTGATGTAGGGAAGGGTAAGAAAGCGATGGGAATGGAAAGGAATAAGCATTTATTTTGTTAGTGCCTGCTCTGTTCTAGGCACCGTGTGGAGCACTTTACAAAAATTATCTTATTTGATGGTGGGTGGGATAGAAGGTATATTTTTATTCATTGAAAGAAAAGCACATTGAATAGAAGAAAAAAAGAATTAGGGCCATTGGATGCGGTATTCTAGTTATACAAAGCAGCTACAGAAGATGCTTATGAGTGGGACCTGAAACAGATGACACAGATTTCCATAGTGTGAAAACAGTAATTAGAAGAGAATAGATGAGTTTGTGATAGTGAGTAATAAATATAAAATCGATTTCACGCTCTAATCAAATTGGACCGGCTTCTTATCTTGAACTACCCTGATTGATCACGCCTCTTTGTTCCCTGTAGGTCACTAGGCCAAAAATATTGTCCTTCCTTCTCATCACTGATTGAATTTCTGCTGATGATTTAAAGCACAGCTCCAAATGTTGACGTCTCAACAAAGTTCTTCTGGTCTTCCTCAATCAAATCTGGTGACATGTTATTTTCCTCCACTTTATCAATATCGCAGGATCTAGTTCTAGAACTGGAAGGCAACTCAGAAGACATCTCTCTCAGTGCCCAGAGACACTAAATAACTTAAGTGAGGTCACAAAGGTAATGTCAGAAATGGGATATGAACTCAGGTCCTCAGAATCTAGTCATCACTCTTTCCACCAGAGATGGAGACAACAAAGGAGCTATCCCCTTGAATTTTAAATAGTATTTGTTCTTTTCATCAGTGCATATTTTAGTTGTCTGTGCTGGTTGTTTAGCCCGTTATCAGACTGGAAGGTCTATGAGGATAGGTATTGGGCAGGTATTGACATAGTGAAGAGTGTGTTAGACTGGAATCAACAAAATTTGGGTAAAAGTTTCACTTCTGGTCTTTGGTAGCTATGCAAATTCCTTAGCCTCTCTAGGCCTCAGTTTCCTCATCTGTAAAATGACTGAGTTAGACTCAGTGGCCACTGTGGAACTCTCCAACCTCCAAATTGATGATCTTATGATTGATGACCTACCTCACTGAGTTGCTGTGAAGGTCTTATGAGATAATTTTTGTAAGTTCCTTTTTAAAAATTGGCTATTATTATCTAAACTTTACCTTTTCCTCATTCCCTAGCAATGCTCTCTGAACAGTAGGCACTTCATAAAGTTTGTGTTGTTCTCTCGGCTTATTCCCCTCTTCCACATGGCAGCCCTTCAAATGCTTGAAGGCACTTATTATCCCCTTTAGGCCTTCTTTTCTTAGGGTTGCTTAAAGAATAGAAGCAGATGGAAGGGATGTTCACTCTGAGAGGAGTCATCAGGGGTGGCTCCAAATATTGTGACCACAGTACTCAGAAGTACCAGCACAGAAAGGGCAAGAGAGAAAAGCCTTCTTGCCTTCACAGAGTGGATTGACAGGTGAATGGATAAGAACCCCACTGCCAAACAACTAGCAGGATTGAATGAAAAGCAGCCCTAACGCCAGTAGGCTCTTGACAATGTTTTATCATCTCATCATCTCATCCCCAATGTCAGGAGAGGGAGGGAGGTGTGCCATTCATGAAACTGTCAGCAAATGACAGAGATGTGTGCAGACTGATTGAACCCTACCCTCTTCTGTCTTTCAGATGGGCAGGACAAGATGCCTAGTATCATCACCTTGAAAATTGTTAGGAATTCGACGCTTGCTTTGCTGGATTGGAAAAGTCAGAAAAGTGTGTGAGGATAGGTGAGAGGAGAGAAGGGATGGAACAAGAATGGGAATTTGATGCCAATTCAGCCAACATCCATAAAGTGTCTGCTGTATACAGAATCTTGTGTACTGGGAGAGATACTAAAGTAAAAAATAAGGTATAACACCTGCTCACAAGGAGCTTATAAACTAGTAAGAAATTTGAACAGGCAGGCAACTTTAATACAACCATAGGGTGGCTAGATGGCTCAGTGAATAGAGTGCTGAACCTGTAGCCAGGAAGACCTACATTCAAATTTCACCTTAAATACTTACTATAACCAGGCAAGTTATTTAGCTTCTCTCAATCTCAGTTTCCTCATCAGTTAAATGGGTATAATAATGGTGCTCACCTCACAGAATTATTTTAAGAATCCAATGAGATGACACATGTAAAGGGCTTTGCAAACTTTAAAGTGTAACATAAATGCTAGCAATCAGCTTGTATATATTAAAATTGCACCATAATTATTTAAGGGAATTTATATTAAGTGTTGCTTAAGGTGAAAGAGGGCAGATAATTAGTGACTGTGGAGATCATGGAAGCTTGGAGACAGGTGACATTTTAGCTGAGTCTTGACAGACTGTTAGGAATTCAACAGCAGAGATCAACCAATGGAAATAGATTAGTTAATCACCAATTATGTGTCAGAAACTGTGCTAGGCACTGGGGATACAAATGAAGTGAAAAGGTCTCTGGTCATAAGGAGTTTATAGTCTAGAGAAGATAACATAAACATATATCAGTCTATATATAATGCATAACAAATACATGTTAATTTTGGGGGGTGGAGAGGAGAGGGAAGAGAATAAACATTTATTAAATGTCTACTATGTGTCAAGCATTGTGCAAAGCATTTTATGATATTATTTCATTTGAGAGGCATCAGGAAAGGCTTCATGCAGAAGCAGTGCTTAAACTGTATATTGAAGGGAAAAACAGAGTATTGAAGAGAAAAAAAGGGATTCTAAGAGGCAATGATGAATAGGTGTGCTTTTCCAGGCATAGGAGACAACTTATACAAAGACAAAGGGACAGGAGATGCAATGTTATATTTAAAGAATCTCAGGATTTGTGGAGGGGAATAATGAATGATAAGTCTATAAGGGGTCAGGTCATAAAGAGATTATTAAAGCCAAACGCAGAGCTTATATTTGATCTTTAATGCAATAGGAAGCCAGCCATTTGCATTTGTGGAATAGAGGAGTCAGATAGAGTTAGATCCAGGCTTTACCCAAGTTGTTTTGGCAGCTATGTGGAAGATGGATAGCAGAAGGGAGATACTTGAGGCAGGGAGACCAAAATAGGAGGTGGGATGGTATAGTGGGAAGAGGGCTGAACTTGGAGTCTACTGAGCTGGATTAGAGTCTCAGCTCTTTCATTTACCATCTGGAAAATTTTGGGAAGTCACTTAACCTCTCTCACCCTTGGTTTCTTCTTCATAGTCCAAAGAGGGATGGTAGTACTTAGGACAGTACTTACAGGGCAATTAGGAGAAAATGACTATTAATGTGTTATTCATTATTGTGATTAAAAGTGTTGGGAGGGAATATTCTTGAAATTTTGAAAAAAAACAAACTATTGAAGGAGGATTAATGTTTTTCACTGAGTGATTCAAACATTCCATAATTTGACTAGCTTCGGTCAGGGATTGCTAGTGGCTTTATAGAAACATTAAAAAAAGTGACTGATATGTGCTTTTGTGGTGATGTCCACCAACTTGTTTTATTTTCCAGAAAGTATATTCCTTGGTGAAAATCTTCAGTGTGTATTTCCTGGGAACATCTGTGAGCCGTTGAGTTTAATTACGATACCGCTGATGAGGCTTATATGTGGTCTTTTGAAAGCTCTAGAATAGTATGGGAGCTGTCCCAAGAAGTCTTCTTTTGTGCTGAAGTCTTCAAATTGTATTTCACAAAAGTAGGTCTGTTTGAGTTAATTATGTGTGTGTATTATCCTATGAACTCTCAAGACAATGGGGCTACAGCTGGTGCTGATTGTCTGAAGAGAGGGTGCAACTGATTGGCTGATGACTCTTGTGATTGTTACTTCCACTGAATCAAGGACCTTAGAATGTTTGAGCTTGGAGGGGCCTTTACAGACCATTTCAGCACCTCCTCGCCCTCCCATTTTACAGAAGAGGTGACTAAAGCTCAGGAGGATGACTTGCCTGAGGTAATACAGCTATTTAGTGTCTAAGCAGAATGACTCAAACACAAGTCTCTTGATTCTCAATCTAGTGTTCTTTCCTTAACTTAGGGACCATCTATTTGGATCCCCTCATTTTAAAAACAAAGAAAGTGAGGCCTAGAGAGATAAAGTGAGTTTCTTGGGGCCTCCCAGGCAATGGAGAGTGGAGCTAGAATCTAAATGTGGATTGAATCCCAAGTCATCCAACCAAGTGCTCTTTCTAGGGTGAATGCTATATTGCACTGAGTTTGTTTGGCACTGACTATCTGTGATAGATGGTGAGGGCCGAGTAGTCAGTTCTCCACTTTAGAAAGCAATCCTGAGACTCTGAGGGAGGTGTTGTATGGTGGGCACATCATATCACATGGATGGTGGTCTCCTCATATTAACAAAGAGAACAGAGCACAAGGAAAGCTGTTGATGACATGACTCAGAGAGAAGATGAAATGCCACCATGAGCTTGGGGGAGTAGGGCAAACTCCAGATGAACAAGAGGGTGCCAGGGGATGTGCTGGCCAACTCAGGATAAATTAGGGTGTGTGGGAGAAACTAGTGCTGGCGAATGAACACAATAGAACAGAGGTACAGAGTGGTGTGGAGGAGGGCGGTGGTGGTGGGAAAGGAATGGAAGTACTTGCCATAAGCA